CAGTTGAAGCGGCAGCAGAACGCTCCGCCGAGACCACCGTCAAGCATCCAAACATCACTGTCGAGTGGGTTCACACTGCCAACTCCATCTGAGTCAGGCTCCAGCTTAGCTCAAGCAGTTCAAGGGCTCAAGATCGAGAATGCTGAATCCAGTGGCATGTCGGACTCTGTGCCAAGTATTGTAGGACCGTCAGGTTCCTCTCAAGGGTACTCAGTCAACACTTCATCTGGAATCGGTACGTCCCATGAGAGCTCCCCATCTTCAATCATGTCAATCTCAGAAGGAGGAGCAACGTTTCCTGGACAAGCGGTTGTCATGCATATCCAATCGACAGGTGCGCAGAATGCTGAAGGCAGTGGAGGTGGAACCCTGAGTCGGACGTCCATTCCTGCTCAGCGACCTGAGCCCCGCCAGGAAGTGTCATCATGGATGAGTCTAGCGACTAGGCGGATTCAGAAGCTACCCCTCGCTCGAAGTCAGAACCCAGGCACCATCGACGACATCGGCGTCACGAGAGCCAGGGACACGGGCGCGAAAAGAGTACGTCTGAGTACACATCGTCACAAGGCGGTAGTCTGACACGCTCTTCGAAGCGTAGCCAGAGATCAATTCATTCGGAGCGATCAAGTCACGTTGAAACTTCTCGCCGGTCTGAGGCGTCTTCTGCGTCCTCAGGTGCAGCTCAAGTAGACATCAACATGATGCTACAATAGCAGGCAGGAATGGTCGAGTTGCGGAATCAACAGGAGGCTTTCCATGAGAGACAACAGCGGTTGCAGCTGCAATCGGCCATGCAAGTGCAGACGCAGTGATAGCAAAGGCAAGATCAGCTTCAGAAGCAGCAATTGCGGAATGAACAGCAGATCGACCGACGCCTAGAGCGACAACAGCATGGCCTCTCAGAGAATATGCAAGCGCTAGCCGACAGGCTTACTCAGCTGGAAAGCTTGAGATCTCAGACTCCTGAGTACGAACGAGGACTGAGGTCTGGCTCACAGTTCTTGATGCCTGAACACTCTCAAGCTCAGAGATCTCCAAGTCCGAAGTAAGAGACTCTGATTTCGAGAGTTCACTTTGAAGGATCACTCGAGCACGAGAAACGGCGCATGCAACGCGAGTTTGACAATAAGCTTGCTCAACAGGCCCAGGGTGCTGATGTGAGACAGAAGAACTGGCTTACGAACGCCCAAAATGCTCTGGAGGAACGCGAGCGAATGCTCAACTCTCAATGGACTGCTTTCGAACAGCAACTGAAGAAGCGAGGAGAAGAATGGAAGCTTGAGAGGGAAGCGATGGCGACCGGCATACAAAATCAGATGTTAACGGTACTTCAAGCTGCCCTTTCCCAGATTGCTTCCAATTCAGCAACTGGCATACAGTCAGCGTCCCTGAGTTCCCCTGATTCAGCAACTCTGAATCCAGTGCGAGCGGTCGCGGCCAAGAATAGCCAGACGCTCATCGTAGGTGCGTCACCGACAGTGGCATCTGTCCAACAGAGTGTTGCGGTGGACCAAAACCGAGAAATCAAGCGCGAGACACCTCCAGTCATGAGCGCCACTCGCCGAGAGACGTCAAATGCGTCACAGACTCCGCCTGCTGTGAGGCGAATGGAGTCGCAAGCTGCGAGGAAGACTACCACGCGAAAGGAAGAGTCTGCATCATCGTCGTCGAAAGGTCACAGCCGAAGAAGGTGAAAGAGAAGTCTTATCCTCCTCCCGACGACCCGGATGACTCGGAGCCCAGTGACAGTGACAACGATGCGAGTCGAGGAGGAAGTTCCTATTCTAGCGATGCTAAAAGCTTCTCAAGCGAGGATGAAGACATCGGGATGACTACGACGACGACCACAGCTGATGGAACAACGATTTGGAACTGTAGAATTTATATCGGCTACACTAACCTGGAGAAGTTCGACGAGAAAGCTTCCAGGGATAATCGAGTCAATTGGTGGGAGCGATTCTCGGATATGGCATCTCAGGGATCTTGGTCAGACACGATGAAGATTCGTCAGTTCAGGAGCCGGATGCCCACCGCGATCAGGGACTGGTTCACGCAGCTACCCAAATCTACACGTCACGATTGGAAACAAATGTCGCGCAGATTCAGGAAGCTGTATATCGGTACTACAGACTCGTACTCGGAAAGGTACGTCACGATGAAGATGACCGACCATGAGACCCCATTGCAGTTCTTCTATCGTCTAAATGCCGCTGCAGTCAAGGCGGAAGTCAAGTTCAAGTCGAGCTCTAAGGTACGTGAGTCTTATATTCGAAGGTTCATTAAGAACCTTCGAAACGATCAGTTGAAGACAGCTCTTGAAGGTCACAGGTTTCAGAGTACCACGGACTTGGAACGAGCATTACGTCGCCATGAAGATGTGTGGGGTGAAGAAGGGTATGACTCTCCAGCTCCTAAGAAGCCCAGAGATTTCCGCGCCGACAACGTTCACCAAGACCGAACTCAGAGTCGTGGACCGACCAGACGCCAGGGACGTGCTTGTGTGACTCAAGGCGAAGCTGAACCCACGCAGGACTCAGAGTTCCAACATGAGTCTCAGTATCCTGACGCGTTTGCAGAACAAGCAGAGGCACACTTGAAGTCGATCTCAGAGTTGCCCAATAGTGGAATCGATGGAGAAGTATTTCGAGTCGCAGACAACCAACACTGGAAGTCACCCAACCCACATCCGGGTCAAGGCGTAGCACGACCAGAAGCTTGGGATGTCTTCTGTGAGAAGTGTAAGAAGTGGGGACACCCTGAGGTCAACCGTTGGACCGGAATGATATGTGAACGATGCCACACCGAGGGACACCCGGCCAGAGTCTGTACCTTAACCCCTTGTGCAGAATGTGGAGGTTTTCACGGCGGAATATCGTGTGAACAGTGGAAAGCTTCCAGTCAGTAATGACACTGGCGAAGCAAGGGAATGTAAGCGAATTATCAACCCAATTTCGAAGTCTCCTTCAGACCAAGGATCACACTTCAGGGGCGCAGCAGTTAAACCAATAAGCCCGCCGGATGGGAATCCGGTACGCGACGGGCCTAAGAACCCCTGAAAAAAATATGTGTGTTAGTCTGTATAGGATCAGGACGAAGGACGCAACTACAAGATAACCAACAATGCATGAATTTAGTTCAAGATGAAATCATCTACCCTGAACAATTATACTCAGAGTACCAGCGTTCAGATGACCCGATTCCAGAGATCTCTGAGCCCGAATCTCAGGATCCCTTGGACGTGCCGTTGAAACCGGATCAGAGGTACGGATGGTGGGAATATCATGAACATGGAGACATGCATGGATTGGCGACGAAAAATGGAGCTGTGAATGACTCCAGAACCAGAATCTTATTGGGCACTGGTGCGTCCGTGAGCATTATGAGTCTTGATCTAGCGCGTAGACTCAAGCGCAAGCTCCGGACACGCCGTCAAAGCAAAGTTTCTGGTTTAGGAGGAGTGACCACTTAGATTACTACTCATGCCCGAGTGAAGATAACTCTCGGATGGAGTATGGTGTACGTCCTGACCATCTGGGTTAGAAATATTGGAGAAGGTGTTGATGTTCTGCTCGGTGTGAACTTTATGCATTCGGCAGGTGTTCGACTCTGCATACGAGAAGGCTTAGTCAAGCTGCCAGACGAAGAGACTGTGGCTATGTGTGATGATAATCCCAAGTCCCCGTGGTATGGATATCCCTGTGTGCCCAGAGGAAAGCATACAACTACGTCCTGGTCAGGATGCTCTTGTACGAATTCGGTATGGCCAGTTCAAACCCCAGCGTGAGTTGGTGTGGGGTGGGAGAGGCAAAAACAGGGTGACCAAGATCCTGTATTCCTCCAGGTCCTGGGCGACTGCCGTCAAGGTTGTCAATGTTTCAGACCAGAGCGCGTGGATCGATACTCGGACTGCTGTTGCGCGTATTGTGGAGTATGGACAGTTCCCAGGACAGCCTGGATTCGTTCGTCCTGGGAAAGCGCGGTATGAGGAATGGCAACAATTGATCCATGAGTGTACCGTGTCACGCCAAGCAAGGATGCGTGCTGAACGATTAGAGCAGATTCTCAGGGAAAGGATACCTCCGTGCACCCAGGTCCAGAGATATCAGTGGCCTACTAAGCTCTTGATGCGTCCACAGTCTCAAGCCGCTGAGATGAGGATGGTGAAGTTGCAAGAAAAGCCAAAACCATTAGACATGACACTCAAGATCATCGGGAACTCGGCGGTCGTCATGAACACGGTCACGGGTGATCCCAACGAACCTGAGGACCGTCTGGTGTCGGTGGAGAAGACCCACCCAGATCTGAGTCCAAGTGTCAAGGTCCCGGATCCAGAGAACGCCGCGGATGCCGAGAGTAATGCTCAGGTCCAAGGACCGTCAGTGGATGTCCAGTCACAGATGAATTGTTTTGACACCGGTCCAAAGGCTGGAGGCAGAATATGCTCGGGTGAAGCGAGTCTCCGCCGAAGACCTGGATCTGGAACCCGCTGTATATCTCAGAGAAGGAAATGATTTGATGGTGCAGTTGCGGGACCAACTTATCATGCTCCCGGAAATCGAAGAACTAACCCCAGAATGTAACATCGACGAAGCTAAAGTCGGGGTTGCGGGGGTCACAACTCCAGAGATGGAAGCCAAGATGAGAGGGATCCTGAAACGCCATCGCAGCAACTTCCTGGGATATGGCCACGCAGCTCCAGCCCCGGTTAGTAGCGTAGTGTGTGATATCGACGTTGGCAAAACAAAACCAGTGGTTTTACGTGCGAGACAGATTGCGGCACCTTTCTTGGTGAAGATGTTTGAACTCCTGAAGAAGTTGTTGGAGGCAGAGCTGATGGAGCACTCAGAGTCCGAGTGGTCCTCACCTATTGTGATTGTGCTGAAGAAAAACGGCATATACATTCGGATGTGTATTGACTACAGACTTCTGAATTTGCTCATCAAGCTATTCCGCTATCCCTACCTTTGATCGATGACCTGCTGGTAGACTTCAAATTCGCGATGTGGTTTATGAGTCTCGCCATGGCGAGTGGATTCTGGGCAGTGCGAATGACTGAACGTGCGAAGTTGATCTCTGCGTTTGTCTGCCCGTTCGGCCACTTTCAATGGATCAGAATGCCTTTTGGATTGAACAATGCGCCGTTAATTTATCAGAGCATCATCAACAACTGCCTGTGGGGATTCGTCCGTCTGCCTCCTGAGGAGGAAGCTATAGTTGACCCAGAAGTTCTTGAGTTCCTGGATCTCGAGCCTCAAGAAGCCCTGAAACCTGAAGTGGATGTGAGGAATTCAGAGATTCCATCATTGGACATGACTGTATTCCGACGCAATATTCCGGCTCGTCACAAATGCGTCCGGTCTTAGGAAGAAGTTCGTATATTGACGATATCGCTCATGGGTCGTCGACCTGGGACCAACTATGTGAGGACCTGGACGCGTTGTTATACAGACTACGATACTGGAATATCTCTGTAAGCTTACCGAAAAGTGAATTCGGAAAGTTGACTATCCCATTCCTTTCTCATGAAGTGAGTGCGGATGGAATCAGAGCCTTGCCGAAGATTGTCAAAGGCATAGAGGACTTACCTTTCCCGTCGACGTACAAGGGAGTGCAGTCCTTCTTAGGAAGTCTGAATTATTACAACAAGTTTATTGAAGACTTGCCAGTAGTCGCCGCTGTGCTCTATAAACTAGATAAAGAACGCGTACGTGCTGGACGGAACCTGGAAGCCGCAAAGGAGTCTTTCGAGATACTGAAACGTAAGATCGTGTCGACCCCGCTGCTGCGACATCCAGACAGAAATAAGCCTTTCGTGATCATTCCGCATGCTAGCCCGTGGGCGACGAGTGCAGTTTTGGGTCAGAAGCGAGAAGGACTCATACACCCAGTACGATTTACTGGCAGAGTGTTGAAGAAATCAGAGCTACGTTACCATATAGATGAGAAGGAAGTACTCGCAATCTTGCGGACTTTGGAAGTTTTCAGACCTCTGATCCACGGATCAGAATCCCCGGTTGTGGTGTATACGCGTTACTCTATACTAAAATGGGTACTACAATCCAACACTGCAGATGGACGACATCTGAAGTGGGGGCTGGAACTATCGAGATGGACACCGGAAATCCATCGGACTCAGAAAGATGAGGACGGCCTTGCGGCTATCCTTGGGTCTGGTATTACTCCCAGGGAACATTTAGATGAAGTTGCAGAAACCCTGATTCCTGCCAAGGGGCGTCTGAAAGTGATGCCCACCAGTGAGGCTGGAAATGTTGAAAGGAGACTATCAAGGCTACGTTCTGAGTTTCGATGGCGCTGCGAAGGTTTTTACTCACCGAGGAAGTTGTGGATGCACACTGTGGAAACTGCCGAGATGGCAGGTTGTGAAAGCTGAAGGACACATCCTACAAGGTGTGACGGTCAACGATGCTGAATACCATGGTTTGATTCTGGGGATAAAGCTCGCAATGAAGTATGACGTCAAGGGGCTTGTGGCAGTCGGTGATTCCCGAATCGCCGTCCAACAGGCTCAGAGTCTAATCAATTGCAACCAGCCTAGCTTGCAACGACGCCTAGCTGAGTACGATGATCTGAGGAATATTTTTTTGACTGTGAAGTTGATTCATGTTTAACGTGAATTTAACCAAGCAGCCGACTACTTGACCTTTAAGACTCTCGTGCTTGGAGAATCCTGGGAGCTCAACGACTCCGATGAGATAGCGCATCTACGTCTCGTATCCAGAAGCCCTGAATAGATCATAAAGCCTTCGGAAATTCCAGGTACCCCTGTGACCGATTCGGTTCGCTCGGACCAAGTCGAACTTGGGACGTGTAACTCCAATGCCGGGATACCTGAATCTTTAGCTGCCGCGGCTGAGGCATTGATGGTGATGACGAGATCACGTGCGGAAGCGGACACAAGTTCCCTGAGTCCTGTAGATCAGTCTGAATACCAGGATGAAAGTTGGAGGAGAATAAAGCTTCACCAAGACGAAGATCTATTGATCCAGCAGATGAAAAAGGTTCTCACAGGAGACGTATCAGATCTTCCACGGAATCAGGTGAAGAAGATTGCGAAGGCTTCTGATCAGTTTGTGTTGGACTCACGAGAAGTCATCTACAGACTAAGTACACCCACTCCTGAGAGGCCCCGCAACAAACAGTCGGAACTCAGACTGGTGGTCCCAGAGACTTTACGTGCTGACATGTTACACTATTCGCACGAAGACTTCCAAGGCGGTCACCAAGGAACCAATCGGACGTTTGAGCGTTTGCGCTCAGAGTTCTACTGGATCGGGATGTACGCCGATGTGCAGAAGTTTGTGAGAGAGTCTGTGGATTGTGCGTCAGCCAAGGGGCGACCACCGGTCCTTGGCCCGTCACCTGGAAATATCGAACCGAGATATCCGTTCGAGGTGGTTTCTATGGATTTTGTCACTGAGTTACCTGAGTTGATCGTGGAAATGCATACTTGTTGCTATTCCAAGATCAAGTCTCAGGATACGTCATGTGCAAACCCATGCGGAATACCGAAGCCCAAGATGTTGCTGAGGCATACGAAGAGTGTGTATTCAGAAGATTTGGGGCGAGTTCAATGATCAGGCATGATCCGAACCCCCGTTTCATGAGTAAGGTCTTCGCCAGCTTCAGAGGTCTTCTGAAAAGTAAGCAACGTGCGACGCTAGGATATCGACCTCAGGCCAACGGACAGGATGGACAGCAGGAACGCTCAGTCCAAACTGTAATGCGAAGCGTCAGAGCGTATGTTGCCGAAGTTGACCAGAGTGACTGGGACGAGCATGCAGAACGTCTCATGTTCGCCCTGAACATTTCGTTCGACGTTGCGAGGCTGGATACCCCGTTTTACCTGGTCCATGGCTGGGACGCCCAGGGAACCATATCCGCAATCTGGGCCCGAAGCCCTCCACAGTCCAAGAACGAACGGCTTTGAAGTGGGGTCCGAAGATGCAACGGGATTATAGCTATGCCCTTGCGTGTGCTGAAGACTTGCAAAAGAAGGCGAAGCGTGCGAGATCTGCTGCTCAGACTCGTAAGTGGAGAGAACATTCGGATCGTGTAAAGGCAGATTTCGAAGCCGGCGATTCTGTATGGTTGTATATTCCCAAGGTCCGCACGGGGTTGAGCCGTATGACGCGTTGTGATTGGAGTAAAATTATCAGTCACTCATTTCAACCCAGATCGGTCTAGGGTTGTGCCAGAAATTGTGGAGTATGACTATTGATATTTGGTGATGACCTATTCGGTGAAAACACGATGAGTATATTTCCGGTATCCAAAAGATGGGTACACGAAAGAAGATGGATTGGCAAAAAAGAAAGTGATATGGATGCACCAATGTACAAATGGAGCGATGGTAATGCTGGACTATCACCATGCCGACGGGCCGCGACCGGTGTCGACAAGTGACTTTTGGATATCAGGGTATCGCCATCAATGGATATGTGGATCTGACTCTAGGGATCGAAACTCTGACTATAGTTCAGACCATATGTTAATGACCGACCAGTCCGACTGACCAGATATGTTATGCACTTGAAGATTCGAAAAAGTTGGACTATTGCGAGCGTCGACCTATATTGAGACCAAGTTTATTTTCTATGTGTTATGACTATCAGAAAGGATTGACATAGAGACTTTTTTATTTTAACAGAGAATTCGTTTTGTCACCTAAAGCACAAGCACCTTCAGGCCGTCTTTGTTTGTGAGCGGTAGTTGTGTGTCAGCGGAGAAGCAAGGAGTCGACTTTCGGGCAGCGTACCTGAGTGACCCCAAGTGGACTCTTGTGTGTGGGCATATCGCCAGAGAGGGAGGTCGGCACGTCGTCTTCGAGTAAGTTATCAAGCCCATTTCGGTTAGTGATCGGGCGACGCGTGCCCGAGGTGATCTGCTAATTTGATATTCTAGTTGGTCGTCTGGATAGACTTCCATTTCGTATTTGCTGCTTGTCTGAGGTTATAGTAATTACTCCTGACTCGATTGATTAGATTACTGTGTTGAAGGTTAGGTCCGTCCAGAAGCTACTTTGTTGTAAGTAGTTATCTGGATAGACATTTGTGGATATTTGGTGGTGAAGTGTATTTGTCTTTCGAGAAGTGGTTATATACTACTTTGTGGGAAGTGGTGCGCGTATTGTTTGAGAGAGAAGGACCACTAGAGGTTGACCAGTACCTCTTCTGGAATCCAAGTGAGACTAGTGAGCGACCGACCTTTACACGGTCCAAAATATTAAGTAAGGGCTACATATCTGTATATTTGTATAATTCTTTGTACTATTGTATTATCTCTCTGGGAAGGTCTTCTTCATAGCCCACTTCCAGTCCCTGACACGTCGTTTAGAAGTAACGTCGGTGCCAGCTCCCTACTAAATTTGGTTATCCAAAAGTCAGCGTTTATCAACTCGGTGGATCACTTAGTTCCAAAGTCAAACGTACCGATAGGGATTCCACAAGGTCATACGCCAGCTCCTCAATAGTGTGTTCAGTTGTCTATCTGAATCACACCGTTGGAGAGTTCTGACCCCCAAAACACCTTTCTGGTTGTTTGCCACCTGGGCATCGTACTATACACTTGCGCGGTTCAGGCGTTCACCCGCCTCGAGTCACGTAAGTTAGCTCACTTGTGTCACGGACCTTTCCGAATCGATGAGATTCATGACGACTTCAGAGTCAAGCTCAAGATCCCAGGCACAGGCTATCGTGTGTACCGGTGGGTCCACATTAGTCGCCTCAAACCGAGAGCTCTGTTCCCTAAGCAGCCGACCTCAGAGATACAAGTCTCAAAAGATGACGATTTTGACGCAGCTTTGCTACCCAAAGATAGTTGCGAGCCAGAGACTGCCCATGATGAGTACGATATTGAAGAGATCCTGAACCTGATGTGAATAGAAGACACACGGGCATCTGCCAAAGTCTTGACATCCTCGCGAGCTTCGTCGTCCAGTGGCAGAGTATTGGTTGTGAGGTAGGATGACACCTCGGTTCCGATTGTTGGATGTGAGTGCGTGTGATTCTACAAACCAAGCAAATGTCAGACAACCGTTGCCAAATATAAATATCTTATCACCTACCTCATTTCGGACTATGCTCTTATAAGTATTGTCAGCACACCGGTTGACAGCGGTCGTTAACCGAGGTCGCTTTGATCTTGCAATAGCGAGGGTTGCGGTTGCGGTGGCCTTTTGATCTGGCACACTGTGCGTGCACCAGTAGATTCTCTGGTATAACTCTTACACGCGTGGAATTTGGTCTTCATGAGTGCTAAAATAACACGATGAGTTAGCTCATTTAGTAATATATATCAGCACACCAATCATACATGTAGTATAGAGACGTTTTCACTGAACTTTTTCTTGTACTTCGAAAACATCTCTTCAAATTCCTCCCAGGTTTTAAATACCGTACTCAACCCAAATGCTGGTACAACATTTCGGATCTCGTCGTCACCTGGGTTCATCGAATCCAGTTCTTCGAGGTGCTTGCTTCAGCGTTTTCTTGGAGAATACTCCGATGATGTCAGTAGATCCTCTCCAGTGTCATTGTCCTGCATGTCGGCTGATACTTTCAGCATCCTGCGCTTAGCAGGAGATAGTTGTACAACTTAGTGAGGTGAGTGGCGCTTCAACAGAGTACTGGATCCTTTCAAACAATATCAAGCCAGTAAGAAACATTGATTATAAGCAAAATAGAGGGCTTCTTATCGCAACCATGCATCTGTAAAAGCGACCATACAACTTAAAGAGACTTTACAAACATGAACACAACCATACCTGAAGCGTTTCTGCTTTGAACTCTCAATTCCCCTGGTATTACGCAAAAGTAGCACAGTAAATCAGCATATAATCCTAAAAATAAAAACTCTTTATACAGGATAGACTTACCGTTTTTTGGCTTAGCTTTCTCGCACGATTCTTCCGCGGAAGAGGCCTCGCTTTCTTCATCTTCGTCTTACTGCTCGTAGTCTTCGTCGCTTATGTCATCGCCTTCAATCCCCAGCGCATTATACGCGATCTTCAAACTTGCATTTACGCTTCGCGTTCTTCGACCTAACAACACCCATTTGCACAGTTCGCTGTCAAATAAACAGTCTCTATTGGTATTTCAGTGTGAAACGTACCAGCCTAAGTCATATCCAGTGCTTGAATGGTCAGTGGGACGCCGGTGTCGCTCGATTCCTGCGCGGCGTACGCGGGTGCTCCTTCCTGCGCTATTTTCTAAATGAAGGGCTCAGATTGATCGTACCTAATACAATCGTACTTAAAAGAGGAGGTAGTGTACTCTTTTAATTCGTACTTAAACAGTTCCTTAACATTAGTGTGGAACGAATATAGTTTTCAGAAATATGATATATATTTTTCTCGCGTAATTTTGAAATCTGTTAGAGCAAATCTGTAAACGCAACTATAAATGTCGCATAATAAGTTTGCAGTAACGAGTGAGACTCCGTTGAGTTGGGGATCATGGAGGACAAGCCACCACCATAGGAGGTCTTGCTTCATGTCGTCAGTCACTGATATAATATGGAGCCGATGTAGGTTACTCTCGCGTACCCGTAGCCGCTGGAGGAAAGAACGAGTAGCGCGAATGCAGGTCGTAAGCTCCCCATAAGGGACCGGTAATTCTTTCGCGTTAGTGATCTGGCAAAGTAAGCCGAGGCTACAATGTTTCGAGCCTTGCTGATCTTGGACACTTCCAAGCTGTGAACGTCTCATCATTTATTGCTTCAGCACCCAGAATAGCTGCCATAACAAACCTAATTGACCTGTTCATGTCCTCCAGGGAGGTACCGATGTTTGCTGCGACGTTGATGTGATCGTCTACCCAGTGGTAGTTGAAAAATCCGGCGGGGTTGACAACATTGTACTGGGAACCATGTACATGAGAAACCGTTTGACCTACGATTTCATAGAACTCAGGTGACCCGGCCCAGCCAAAAGTCGCTGACAGCTCGATCACAATGACGTTTTCCTCCTCGATCCGGCCGGGGAAAAGAAGAACACTGTTGCTGTGTATGTTAATGCTTCGGAACGCAGACGAAACGTTGCCAGCCATGACATCAACCTCAGTGTTGGGGTGCTCGCGTTTTACCCGAAGCATCTCGGTTGCCACGGCGTTACAATGAACGTAGTCCGGCTTCATGATGCTGGCCTGATCGGTGTAGTCAGGGTACAGAGTTCGTGAATCGTTTGTCCACTGGTGCTGGCATCCTCGTTACGTTTGTCAACAACTCCAAACGGACTGACAACGAGGTCAGACCTTTGCCCGATAACGTCTGCGTCCAGTACCAGGCATCGCCACGCTTCTTGTTCCTTCCGAATAGTTTTGCGCAAGATATTGATCCGGGCTCGAGCTGAGCCGTGGTTTGGTGGTCGCACATGCTGGATGAGGGGTTTCTTCAGGAGTCGGACTTCAACACCTTCCTCTGCTATCTTCAACAGCTGATCAAGGTGACGGTATCCGCTGTACAGCTTCTTCAACACCGATGGCACTAGCTTCTTGTTGGGCCGATAGGCTTCTATTGTTTGATCACGTATCATCTCTACGAACGCGGGTAATGGGGAGCCTGATGTCCGTGCAAGCTC